CGGAGAAAAACCAAAAAAAAAAAAAAAAAAAAAAAAAACAAAAATGCAAAACAACTGAAATTCTCATATATTGCTATTAGTGATTATAAAATGGGGCAACCTTGAAGAAATTCTGGGAAATTTTATATAATTTATCTACCCTATAACCTATCCATGCCATTCTTAGCCAGCTATACGAAAACATACCTATAGAAAGATTCACATACATGTTTTCACACATAACATTAACCAGCAGGTAACAATAAAATCAATAGGAAAATGGATAAATGATTTGCAGTATTTTAATGCAATGGAATACCCTCCATAAAAAACAGGAATAATATGGATAAATTTCAGACATATCATGCTAAGGGAAAGAAACCAAACACACACACACACACATACACATGCCTCTCATGGCAGGATTCCATTTATATAAAGTCCAGGACTAGGCAATCCTATCCTATGGTGATAAAATCAGAAAGTACTTGCCTCTGAGGCAGAAATGAGGGCAATTCTTTGGGAAGAGGCATTAGGAAACTCTCCGGGTTGTGGCAATATTCTATAACTTGTTTTGAGTGTTGTCACACCTACAGATACAATTCTCAGAGTATCCAACTGCATACTTAAGATCTGTGTTTATTATGCAATTGAGGGAAAACATTTTACCAGGAAACATTAAAAAAATTAAAAGCCTGGTTTATTTTACTCAACATAATAACCTCCCGGTTCATTCGTGTTTTCACACATGGTAAGATTTCCCTTCTTATTTAAGGCAAACTATTATTCTATTGTGCATATACATCACATTTTCTTTTTGTATTTGTCCATTGATAGACTCTTAGGTTGGTTTTCTATCTTCATTATTGTGAATAGAGCTGCAGTGAACATGTAGTGCAGCTATCTCTTCAATATACTGATTTCATTTCCTTTGGAGATACATCCAGAAGTATGATTGCTGAATCATATGGTAGTTGTAATTTTAATTTTTTAAGGAACTTCCATGAATTTTTCATAGTGGCTGTACTAATTTACATTCCTACTCACAGCGGGCAAAAGTTCACTTCTCTCATATCCTTGCCAGCTTTTCCATAATAGCCATTTAAAAACAATGAGATAATATCTCATTGTGACTTTGATTTGCATTTCCCTGATGATTAGCGATGTGAAGCCAGGCACAGAAGGATAAATACTGCATAGCTTCACTTACACCTGGGATCTAAAGAAGTTTATCTCATAGAAGTAGAAAATGGAACGGTGGTTTTGAAAGTCTGGGGAGATAGGAGGGAGAAGAAATTAAAACAATTTTGGTCAAAGGATGTCAATTTGCAGTTAGAGAGGAGAAGTAAGTTCAAGAGACCTATTGTATACTGGAATGACTTTGTTAATGTCAGACAATATATTGAATATTTGAAAACTGCAAAGAAAAAGTCAGTATAAATAGCATATAATTGTTTAGTAGGAAGAAGAGAATTGGCAAGTCAGTAGGCCTACCCAATATTTTTTCAAAGATGAATTTTTCAAGTCTTTTCAAGTATTTTTTAGAGAGTAAAATTAACTTTATCTTTACTTCTGAGTAAATGAACCCAGCCTTATGGGTTCTTCTAAGTAAAGGAATTCAGCCTTATGGGTTAATATACTTGAGAGAAACAAAGAGAAACCAGCAACATATAAATATTTCAGTTCCTATTAATTAAAAATAGAATGTTTCACAATCTGGAGGATTTTAAGACATGAAAGAGCCCAATGAAACAAAGGTGAAAAGATCAAACACAGGATGCAGAATTAACAGCTGTGACTTAGTGAGTTAATAAATATGCGGGATAAAAACAAACTCAACAAAGCCCTGGAAAGCCTGCAGCTTCCAAGTAATTAACACACTAATCAGAAACACTTGCTATGTGTAATCTAAAGGGCCCCATCTCATATTGAAAGCATGGATTCCTTGGCTATGATGGATACTTTCCTTTTACAGGGAACAATTAACAGAAACTAGACTAAATGAAGGCATGCATGAAGCCGAGGGGAAGCAGCCCCCCTCATGATGTTCTACCTACACAGTACAAGTTTTCAGTAAATAAACATGCAAGTTCTGTCTTGGCTATCATTGTCCCCAGAGAAAAATAACTGAACACATCAGCCCAAGGAAAGAAATGTAAGTGCATAAGGTCTGTATTTATACTTTTATTTTTAAGTATCACTGCCAGTTTTAAAAGTGAAATCATTTCAACCATGTTAATTTCTAATTAGTAAATGGGAAAAAAATGTTTGAATACCTACAAGTGGATCTAACTTCACATTTTGTGCATTTCTACACAGAAAGCCAGAACTAGTAGTTTAGAGGATTAAACCTGTGATCAAAATATAGGCTGTTATATAAGCTTGCCAATAATTATCTTTTCTTTGAAATTGTAACTCTCAACAATTTTTCAGCCTGTACACACCTATAACTTGTGAGAAGCATTGGGAAATGTCTATTCTATCCATCTACCCCTGTTCAGTGTACATCTCTGAACACTTCCTGAAACCACGTGTTCTACCCAACACTCCCTCATAATTACTTCTATGTGAAATCCTACTCATCTCTCTGCAATGCATGACAAGCCCCAGAGGTCGGAAGTAATCAGGAGAAATGGTTAATGCAGCAAAGTCTCTGCGGCAGAAGGAAAAGCATCCTGTTTGATATTATATTCTTTCCCAATTACATAGAGTACATATATATAATATATATATATGTATTATTCAACTACCTATATGCTTACACAAGGTATAGGTTTTAGTTTAAAACCATCATCTCAAGTTACTTAACTCTCACATATCTTTACTTCTTTGCTTTTCAACCATTATAATAATATCCAAAAGAGAAAAATGAAGCCAGTTACCTCTATAAACATTTAATAACTAACAGAACCAAGGAACAGAGTTAAGATGGAATTTCTGGTTTTAATACTACCTCCAGTTTTCTTCAAGATTTATCAAAATAAAATAAACTAGCCTGAACCAAAATAAAATAAAGTATGGATAGAAGGAGTTATGAAATAATGTCTCAGGAATTTGTTCTTCATTCATTAAATGACAAAATACCTTCATATTAGAGAATTTACACAGATAAAAAAATAAATACATTGCCAGCATGGTGATGCATGCCTGCAATTCCAGACTTTGGAAGGCTGAGGCAGGAGAACTGCAGCAAGTTTGAGGACAGTCTGGGCTACATAGTAAATTCAAACCCAGCCTGAACTACATAGTGAGACCCGCTCTCAAAAACCCAAAATAAATAAATAGCAATGAATTTTATTAATGTATATAGTTGCAAGATGCTGGAAATATAATAAATACACAATAATACCAGAAACACCAAAATAACATGTGACTTATGACAACTAAGTTCAGATTTAGGGAAGTTTATTTATTTAATGAAATACATTGAGATCAAAACTTCCCTGACAAAAGAAAGGCACTGCTTGAACACATTTTCTCCTCCATATACTGGATGCTGTAAAATTTTATCTGGTCCCAAAAAACCCTGAGCTTGTTAATTAAGAACTCATAACGATGTGTCAAGTTGTCAGGAGGGTTTTTTTAAACCTCTAACCAGGACTGGAAGAAACAGACCTTATCCCTAAGGAAAGCAAAGCAACTCCAAATCAGTTGAATAATTTAGCCCCTATAGAGCACCTGAATCCTCATCTATAACTAGAATATAAACTCCTTGGAATAAATTAAATGAAATAATTTGCATGAAAACATTCTATAAACTATAGATTACATGAAATTTAAATGCCATTCTACTGATGAGTTTGATGATTATAATGCAAATAATCCAAAATAAGCTATATTAAAGAAGTTAAGATTTTAAACAAATCATTGCTCATTTAGTCTTAAAAAGACACAGTCGCTCTGCAGATTGGCTGAAGAGATTTATTCATGTTATATATCTCAGTAGATGGTGAATGGCACTGATTGGATCCTATGTCCCCCTTTCTTAGGTTTTATAAGGCCCATTCAGAACGAGCCAGGTTGAGAACACCACCAATTCCATGTTCTGGGTCCATCTGTTGGCAAAAATATAACGCAAATAGCTTTATAAGTGCTATTTTCAATGAAATATCACAGAACAGCTTGTCCCAATGATATTTCTAAAGCTTGCCTGCAAACCGCCTACTGGGAAGTCCAACTGAAAGAGAAGGGGGAAGAGAAAGAAACCCATGCAGACAAGTGACAGAAATGGGAAAGAGAACAAGCGGTGAAGAGAGACTAGCAAGGGATGCGAGCACTGGAGGGAAATGAGGAGCAGTGAGAGCTGCCGTACCAAAAGCGGACAGCACTATTTGGGAAGCATAGGGAACAGAGAACTTAGAAAACGCACAAAAAAACACTGGGCTTGAAAGGGGCAGAGAAGTGGGCACAAACAATGCAGCATATCCAGAGGAAGAAAGACAAAGAAAAGGAAACAGCAGAACACATTAACAGCTCAATAAAAGGAGCATCATTTATTAAAATGTTACAAGAGGGAAATATGGAATAGCTATTTTTCCAAGCTTCACTTTTTTCTTCTTGTAATATACAAAGTTCATTTCTCTAAGAGCTAACGCAGATTCCAATGTCTATTCTCAATTTCAAAGGAAGCAAATATCCTTTTCTGAATTCCTTTTCAATTGAAAAAATCACTTACATATCATATAATAATCCAGGCATTCCAAATCAGTGGTGGTAACATTAATTCAGAAACAGAATACATTATAGTGCAGATGATGTCATTCTGGGCACTTACCTGAGGTCGAATAACTTTTACAATGTTCTTTAGGGCAGTGTCGGGGGATGGAGGTGAGCAGTCAGGTGTTGGCCCTGTTGAGCTGTTTCTATGGTTACTAGTTCCTGGAGCAGTAATTGCTACCTCAGAGCCATTATCTGTGAATAAAAATAGAACTGCCATGAACCTAATCGCTCAGTTTACCTTTCAAGACTTGAAATTGCTTTTGTGAACATGAATTGAGATTTCAACCTAACCCTGCTATCAATTACAAGATTATAATGAAGAATATATTCAGTGGTATATTTTAAAGATAATGTTTATTCAGTGTTTTGTTCCTTTTAAAATGGTAAATTATCACTCCCTGTAGTATTGTTCCAAGAAGAATAAAATTGTCCAATTCATGACAGAACATCTCACATAGCTCTTAAGACTGTCACTACTATATGAACGACTAAGACCATACTTTAACTGAAAGGGAATGTGATTTTGCAATATGACCCAGCTGCAGCTTTTCCCATAATCTTTCTAATGAATATTGATCTTTTAAATTAAGTAGGTGTTTCATATCGCCATGATTCATAAAAACCAAATTCAAGGCTCCTCACATAACTTTTCCCAGAAATCCCTCAAACTGCAGAAAAACATCTCAGCGAAAAACTTTGGTGAAAAATTTATATTCATGCAAAATTATTTTATAGATGTATCAGATTATCACCCCAGATAAACATACGAGGTATGATCAAAAATACAGTGAATGTTAAATCATTTTTTTAAAAATTATTACACTAAAAGATATATCTCCATTAATACCCTCAAATTACTATCCCCTGCTTTCACTTTCTGTCACTTTCTGAAGAAGCTCTTGAGTCCTCTTTTATGAGTATCTTTAGTTGCAGTGTCACGGTTACCTCAATGTCCTGAATTGACTCAAATGCTTACCTTTCACCGTCATTTTGACTTTGGGGAAGATCCAGAAGTAGCAGAGCACCAAATCCACTGAGTTAGGTGGATGGAACACACCATAATGATTTTATGAGCCCGCCTTTCCCCTGGGTGACACGTGACGGCAGCATTCAACATATTTTTGTTACACCTTGTAAAAATATTCATGAAAGAGGATTTTCATGCATTGCCAGAAAAAGGCAACTTATTGATGCGGCCACTTCAAAAAAGTGGCAAGAAAGATGGAATAAGGGTTCAAAGTAAGGGGTAGTATTTTGAGGAGAATTAATGCCAAAGTGTCATTTAATATAATCATTTTTAAAAATTTAAATATCTACCATATAATTTGATCACTCCTTGTATCAGCCAGTATCGAATGAATACATTTCAAAATCTAGATTAATCCTCGTTTATGTTCAGAATTTGGTAGGGATAGAGTCAGTAGAGAAAAGATGACTAGAAAATCAATATCATGTATATTTTCCTCTTAAATTCATAATAAAGCAAAATAACATCAGAAATACAATTTTGGAATGTTAAGATACTTGGAAAAGGATGAAAAATGTTCTATAACTTCTAGCACATAGAAAAGTTCTATTTTACGGATAAGTTGGCAATCCTATACAGTGTTTTATGAAAAATGTTGCAAGCTCAAATCTGAAAATGTTTACTTTGTTATGTTTTTAATTGGCTCCAAATAATTTTCTGTCATAGACAGAAATTTTATATAAAAGAGACTGAGACTATGAATTTAGGTTTCTCTGTTCCATGACCTCTCTGCAATCCCATTAAAAACCAGTAACTTATGAAAGCACTTCTTGCTCATGAAAGTCAAGGTGATGAATTCTTGTAGAACTCCACCCACAAAAATACAATTCAGTTTCAACGGGGAATGCAGACAGGGCCTTCAAAACAAAAACCATATACACTGAATGAAATGGATTATTCATAAAATAAATCTTAGAAGTGTCCATATTTTTGTCTAAGGTTTAATAGATAATGTAAGATTTGAACTGATATCCCAGAATAGATGGTGTACTCTTCTGAGTAGGATAGAAAAGTATAGATAAGTATTGAAATAGACCAAAAACATCATTTAGTAAGACAATGACAATGACAAGGTGCTCTAATTCTCTCCAGCATCTCTCTTCCTTAATTTATACACTTAACTACACATGTAAAAACATTTATTTTGGGATAACTATGTGTCAAGTATAAAGATAAGTGTAAAAAATTCTCTCATTAGGGGTTAGAAAGAAAGAAAGAGGGATGAATATACACAGTGACTTTCAGGGTAGTGAAACTCTCATGCATGATACTAGAAGGATGGCTTACCTACCACTACAGATGTGTTCAACCCACAGAGTATTAAACACCAAGAGTGAACTCTAGAACAAACTGTGGACTTTGGGTCATAATGAGGTGTCAAAGTGAGGCTTACCGCTTGTAGCAAATGCACCTCTCTAGCGAATGAGGTGAGAGTGGGCAGGGATGTAGGGGCTACGAGGGAACTCGGAACTTCTGCTCAGTTTTGCTGTACACTTAAAACTGATCGAAAATATTTCATTTTAAAAAGAATAAAACAGAATTCCTGTCCTTGAGAAATATAATCAGGCATCACATCAGACATATCAACAAATTATAGTACAACATGACCTGAGAACTGATAATAGATAAATGACATAACGAAAAAACAGGGTGACTGCAGCTGAGAGGGAAGATGGCTAAGAAAGCTTTCAGTTTTCATGGCAGAAATCTCGGACAAAATGCAATACATAAAGACATGAAGGTAGGAAGAGCATAAAGGTGTTCATTTTTGTTAGGAAGAGCTCAGAGATAAATTTGGATTCATAAAAAATTTATTTGTATACAAGTTTGCAGTTAATTATATAGACAATGAAAAATATCAAACATTTATGCAGGGAGTTGAACATTTATTACATGCAGACAGCATGTTGAATTACTTTGGTGATTGAGTCTTATTTGATGCTCAAAGCATCCTATAAGGTGGTTTCTATAGATATCATCCTCATTTTACAGAGACTCTCACCCCAAAGTTATACGGCCAGTGACTGACAGAAAAGGATTCAAGTTTAGACTGATGCTGCGTTACCCTTCTGCTGGTTAACATGCCACAGATAAGCAAGGGTGGTTAGAAGTACAAGAGCAGAGACTGTGGACTATTACCATTGTCAAGGTAGAAGCAGTCTCTATTTTAAAATAAAGTTTAACAAAAAAGAAATTATGTGTATGGTCTATAAACTAAACCTGGTCAACTGAGTGTTTTCATAAATAAAGTTTTCTTGAATTCCTGCCTCACCCATTTGTTTACCTAGTGCCTGTGACTGCTTCCTTCTATCACAGGAGAGTTGCCTAGCTATAACAAAGGCCATGCATCCTGCAATTCAAAGTATTTCCTGTCTGTCTCTGAACCCAACTTAAGATCAGTAAAAATTATGCTTCATGAATTGATAGGCCAAGAATTGTGAAGCCCTTACACTCAGTGATTAGTGATTCATACAAAACTTTAATGAGTAGTTACTATGTGCCAGGCAATATATTAAACACATTTGTCTTGGTTACTTTCCTCTTGTTGCTGGGACAAAATACCTGACACCCAAAATTAAGGAAGGAAAGGTTTATTTCACTTACAGTTTGTGGAGGTTTCAGCCCATACTTGGCAGGTTACAAGGCAGAGTGGCACATGGCAGAGGGCTACAGCTCATGGTGGCAGAACACAGCAAAAACAACAAAGCACTAAAAGGGAGGAATGGCAGCAAGCAGCCTCTTCCTCTCCCTTACATGTTCAAACTATCCACCCCAGGGCGGGTGTAGCTCTCACACCCATAATCAACCAAACTCTAAAAGCCTGCCCCATGACCACATGAGGCTTTGCGGGGACACCCAGACACAAACCATAACAACATTTACCCCTAATTTATCCTTACAACACTAAAACTCCATTTCACAGATGAGATAACTGAGGCTAAATACACCAGGATTTCAATTTAGTTTCGTCTACTGGCAAAGCCCTAATTCTTTGAATCAGATCTCTCTATTTGTTAGTGTCTGTTTCCTCTTTTAATATTACACTGTATTCATTCTGAACTCTTCCTTACTCCAAAAATGCACCTCTTCCTCATCTCTCTACTTTTGCTCATCCTACTTCTAACATTTGAAATACCCTTCCCAGTGGTTTCATGTCTAAATATTTACTGATCTGTTGAGAACTTTTTAAAAAATCTTTTAACCAACATAATGATTATACCTATTTATACAGTACAGTGTACTATTTCACTATATTATGTATAACATATAATGACTAAATCAGGTTTATCAGCATATTCATCACCTTAAGCATTTATCATTTCTTCATGTTGGAAACATTCAGATTTCTCTCTACTGGCTTTTTTTTTTGAAATATGCAATTAATTTTGTTAACTCTCATTACCCTGCTGTGCTAAAGAACATTATGTTCTTCTTTCTATGCATCAGGACTCCTATACTCATTAACTATCTTCTCTCTCCACCCCACCCATCTCAGCCTCTGCCAACCACTATTCTGCTTCCAAGCTGTATAGGAACTTTTTAATCTTCCATTTTATGCAGTATTTATCTTTCATCTTCTTAGGTACCACTTTTTCCATATTACATTTCCTGAATCTCCATTCAGAAGTAATCTCAGTCTTATTCAGCTGCCTAGCATCTGGCATGACCCTTGGTACACTTTAATTATTTGATGCAGGCTAGTGAATTATGCTACAAATGCTAGACTGTAAAATTTCATGTAAATTATTTTACATGGATAGAATATTTGTCCTCTAAAAGCTCAAATAAACTATAAGGAATTCTTTTTCCTCGAGCTGTTATTATACAGGAAACTGGCAGTCATAATACACAATCTAATGTGTAGGATGGGAGTCTGACTGGAAGATAAGTATACTATTTCAATCTGAAATTGCATGTATATTTGGTAATTTTCTCCAAGCAGATTCTAGGTATGTCATTTCCTTTCCATCACCAAGGTTTGATAGCTGCATGTTGGATATCTAAAACTGTCTTGGACATAGCTGCTAGTTTGTAAAGTCCACTAGACAACTGGTGAGTTAATAAAAGGTATTTTAAGAATAAATGCATTCCCTAGGACTCTTGTCTGTCTTATAGAATATTTCTCTTATTTGGGTTTTTCCCCCCCAAAAGGACCATGGAACTG